GTTTGTGCAAAACGTTTCTTCGCAAATCCTAGCGGGACAGCGCATGAAATTTGTCTTTTAGAATTTGTTCTTCAAAATCATTGGGAGGTGCTGGAGATTTGTGTTCATGATCTGTTTCCATGAAATCGCGAGCATCGTCTCCCAAGCGCCTCCGAAAAATGCTGACAGAACTCTTCTACCAAAGACGTTTCACAAGCACGGACCCGATGTGCGTACCTGAGCGTATGAAGCTTCTAAGTTGTGCATCGAGTCAATCTACCCTCTGAAGGCATGGCACTGAGTACTTCGTCAGGATTCGAATCCCAGAATATCTCCCAACCGTACTGAGCCTGTCATGTTCTCTTTGTTTGCAGATGTTTGCAGGTTTCCATCGCTGACGTTCTGCACACCGGTCCGCAAGAATTGAAGGGAAAAACATGCCAGGAGAGCAGAAAAGAAGATTTCGGCAAAGCATTGCGGTGCTGTGGAGCGCTGCTGGAACGGCGGACAAAAGCAGGAGGGGGCGCACAAGTGGCTCAAGCATCCAAAGACCTACAATTCCGACAACTCCTCGATAAGTCGAGGACCTTAAGGCTTAAGGCGCAGCAAGACTTGCGATAACCCGGCACAAAACCAGCTGCCAAAGAGCAAGCTTTCGTGACAGCCTGGGCGAAGCGAGTGAGTCGCGCGGTTCTCCCAGGAACCTCAGGGCGGCGAATTGGTTCATACAAGATACATGTCGTGTAGGGATGCAAGGTATCGGTGTCAGATCCGGCTGCGTTGCATGTGTAGACAGATCACTGCGGCGCAGGCGTAAGTGGCATGTCTTGCGTCATGGCCACCTGCACTCTCAAATCCTCTCACTGACAAGAAAGCTGTCGACATCGATTGGCGACAGCCTCTCAGGTACGGGCCCCAAAGAGAAGATACATGGGCAGTCTCTGCGCTACAGGGTTTTTGTTTCCCTGCCTGGGCCTACAAAGCCTCTGCCGAGCTGGACCAAGCCTGCTGGCACGTTGGGTGAAGGGGCGGATAACACGGGAAAAACCGAGGGGAAAACCATGAAACACAGGGGCCAGGCCTAGGCTTAGGCATGCGAGGAGTCGCGTTCGGGATAGACCCGCTGCGACGCCGCTTTGCCTCACCTTCTCTGGGCAGAAGGACTTAACGGGCACCGTGCATGAAGCAGGTCGCAGCTGAGTCCAACACCTTTTTGGCCATCTTTCAAGGCAGAAACAGAATCAAGAGATCGTTGCAGCTCTGTGCACACAAATATCTCGTACTCTTTGGCTTCTCACTCTGTGGATCATGTTCCGTTCTCAGTGAAGCTCGGGTTAACAACTGGCATTCGGCAACATCTGGGTACTGGTTTGGTTGTCTGAGCCGGATCACGAAGCATGCAACATTGACCATTAAGATTCTGCCCATGATTGTTCTAAGCCGCTAAGCGCAGAATGTGCCAAGGGCAAAATGCGCAGCTGGTTTTCTGAGCGGGTAGTCTGGAATCTGGCCGTGAAGCCCAATAAAACTCAATGAGGGGCTCGATGCTGTGAGCTGAGAGACTAAGGACCTCCCCAAGTCTTCAGCAAGGAAAAGCCGTCAGCTCAACGAACCCTTCCGGTGCGTCGCTGTGTACCTTTGCATTTCATGCTCTCGCGATGGGGTGTCAGGGGTCTCAGGCCTAAACTGCTGGCATTTCCGAGGCTTCAACACGCACCTTTCCAGCTCCATGGACTCCTTGCCACGTCACACACCACCTGCGATGTCCGATGGGAAGAAACAAGATGAAGCAAGAGCAGTCAAGAGCAGTCAGATAGCCCAACACGGCTGTCAACTGACAGGAGGTGCGCAGCGCTCAAATTGCCTCTGACTTCACGCCGTCTTTCAGCTTGCGGGTGCCTGGCTTCACGTGGAGACATGCTTTGGGGCCCGTTAAGATGGCGAGTTACACTGACAAAAGAAACACGAGTGCCCAAAGGGATCACCGGCTCGTTCGACTCGGTCTTGTTGAGGACTTTAGAATACCAAACCTTCCAATAGAGTATGGAATCTACACAGGAACAAGTGTTCTCCTGTCATCGCAAGCAGCGAAGAAGAGGGGTTCCGAGGCCAGCTCCTCGCATCCCTTCGAGAACATCTTTTCGTACACCGGTCTCGATTTGACAATCGCACCACAACACGATGGCCACAAGTGTCTGCCTTTTTTGCTCTCAGGACCCGGCTGAATCCTCTCAGAAAAATGGCTGCCCAGGACGATCCCACCGCCAAAGCAGAGAAGACTGAAAATCATGACCTGACATGCCACTGGGACGGCTGGAGCTCCATGCTCACAAGATTCATGTCCCTACCAGCCTCCAGAGCGAACAACTAGACGGACAAACGTGGTGATGTCAGCAGGGCTGTCGGACCCAAATGGCTCCGAAGTTGCACACTGTGCCACTGTGCTGAACGATGCCGCTCTATAAGCGGAGGTTGAAGTGCCACTACGATTTCTGGATGCAATCCATGTCGTTTGTTCCACGGCTCTCAAGTGACTCAAGTACAGCTGCAAGACTCACTTTCGATCGATGCCGAGAACTGTCATTCGGGTGAAACTGCGGAATCAGTTCATTCCAGCGGCTCTAGCGATCTCTAGCGCTTGCTGCACCCACTCAGTGCATAGTTCGTGCCATCTTTGGAACATGGAGCTACACTGGCTGTGCCAGAGAAGCCACTTGCACAAGAAACCTTCACGTCGAACTTGCTCTTTGCAAGTGAAATCTCGTTCACTTGGTAACCCGTAGAATCCATGGGGGCCACACAGTAGACTTCCTTTTCGCAGCCAGACAGCGTGTACGCTTTTCCATCAGAGGAGCATGCACTTGCGCTGGCGGTTCCGACATAGCCTTCGGCACACTTGGCGGTGACGTCAAACATGCTTGCTGCCAGGACAGTCTCAGTGACCACGTATGCCTTCGCATCCGATGGTGATACACAAAGCTTCTCCTTCTCACAGCCCGACAGGGTGTATGCTGCTCCGTCGGCGGAGCACACCGCCACAGAGACGGTACCCACATAGCCAGTTGCACATTCGGCAGTCACGTCGAACTTGCTTCCTGACAGCACAACCTCCGTCACCTTGTAGCCCGTCGCATCACTGGGCGCGATACACATCCTGTCCTTATCACAGCCGGAAAGTGTGTATGCCTGCCCGTCTGCAGCACACGCTGCCACAGCGGCAGTACCCATGTACCCGGCTGCACATTCAGCAGTCACATCGAACTTGCTTCCCGCAAGAGCAACTTCTGTCACCATGTAGCCAGTAGCATCGCTCGGTGCGTTGCACAGCTTGTCCTTCTCACAGCCCGACAAAGTGTACGCCTCTCCATCTGCAGAGCATGCTGCCACTGCAGCAGTACCCAGATATCCGGCTGCACATTTTACCGTGACATCAAACTTGCTTTCCAGAAGGGCAACTTCCGTCACATCATAGCCGGTAACATCACTGGGCGCAACGCAAAGCTTGTCTTTCTCGCAGCCGGAAAGTGTGTATGCTTGCCCGTCTGCAGAACATGCTGCCACTGCAGCAGTACCCACATAGCCGGTTGCACACTTTACTGTGACATCAAACTTGCTTTCCAGAAGGGCAACTTCTGTCACCTCATAGCCGGTAACATCACTGGGTGCAACGCAAAGGTTGTCTTTCTCGCAGCCGGAAAGTGTGTATGCTTGCCCGTCTGCAGAACATGCTGCCACATCGGCAGTACCCAGGTACCCGACTGCGCATTCGGCAGTCACATCGAACTTGCTTCCCGCAAGAGCAACTTCTGTCACCGTGTAGCCTGTAGCATCACTCGGTGCGCTGCACAGCTTGTCCTTCTCACAGCCCGACAAAGTGTATGCCTCTCCATCTGCAGAGCATGCTGCCACTGCAGCAGTACCCAGATAGCCGGGTGCACACTTAACCGTGACATCAAACTTGCTTTCCAGAAGGGCAACTTCTGTCACCTCATAGCCGGTAACATCACTGGGTGCAATGCAAAGCTTGTCTTTCTCGCAACCGGAAAGTGTGTATGCTTGCCCGTCTGCAGAACATGCTGCCACATCGGCCGTACCCAGGTACCCGACTGCGCATTCGGCAGTCACATCGAACTTGCTTCCCGCAAGAGCAACTTCTGTCACCATGTAGCCAGTAGCATCACTCGGTGCGCTGCACAGCTTGTCCTTCTCACAGCCCGACAAAGTGTACGCTTCTCCATCTGCAGAGCATGCTGCCGCTGCAGCAGTACCCAGATAGCCGGGTGCACATTTTACCGTGACCTCAAACTTGCTTTCCAGAAGAGCAACTTCCGTCACATCATAGCCGGTAACATCACTGGGTGCAACGCAAAGCTTGTCTTTCTCGCAGCCGGAAAGTGTGTATGCTTGCCCGTCTGCAGTGCACGCTGCCACAGCAGCAGTACCCAGGTACCCGACTGCGCATTCGGCAGTCACATCGAACTTGCTTCCCGCAAGAGCAACTTCTGTCACCGTGTAGCCAGTAGCATCACTCGGTGCGCTGCACAGCTTGTCCTTCTCACAGCCCGACAAAGTGTACGCCTCTCCATCTGCAGAGCATGCTGCCACTGCAGCAGTACCCAGATAGCCGGGTGCACATGTTACCGTGACCTCAAACTTGCTTTCCAGAAGGGCAACTTCCGTCACATCATAGCCGGTAACATCACTGGGTGCAACGCAAAGCTTGTCTTTCTCGCAGCCGGAAAGTGTGTATGCTTGCCCGTCTGCAGTGCACGCTGCCACAGCAGCAGTACCCAGGTACCCGACTGCGCATTCAGCAGTCACATCGAACTTGCTTCCCGCAAGAGCAACTTCTGTCACCGTGTAGCCAGTAGCATCACTCGGTGCGCTGCACAGCTTGTCCTTCTCACAGCCCGACAAAGTGTACGCCTCTCCATCTGCAGAGCAAGCTGCCACTGCAGCAGTACCCAGATAGCCGGGTGCACACTTTACCGTGACATCGAACTTGCTTTCCAGAAGGGCAACTTCCGTCACATCATAGCCGGTAACATCACTGGGCGCAACGCAAAGCTTGTCTTTCTCGCAGCCGGAAAGTGTGAATGCTTCCCCGTCTGCAGAGCATGCGGCCACAGTGGCAGTACCCAGGTACCCGACTGCACATTCGGCAGTGACATCGAAAACGCTCTGAAGAAGGTTTGCCTCCGTGACCTTATAGCCCTTGAGACTTGTGGGAGTCATGCAGAGCGGATCCAGCTCACATCCAGAGATCGAGAAATGCTCCCCATTTGATGTGCATGCCGTTACAGATGCTGTTCCGAAAAACCCTTCTGCACACTCCGCATCCACCTGGAACTTGCTAACACTGAGATGGGACTCTGTCACCTTGTAGCCCTCCACATCCGAAGGGGCCAAGCACACGGGGTCCAACTCACAGCCGGTCAGCTCGTAGTTCTCTCCGTTTTTCGTACAAGCAGTCGCAGTTGCCTGTCCAACGTAGCCTTCCTTACACTCGACGGCGACGTCAAACAAACTCTTGCGTAGATTTGTCTCGGTCACCTTGTATCCCGCGGAGGTCGTCGGGGCCAAGCAGAAAGGGTCCAAGGCACAGCCAGAAAGAACATAGGAGCCCCCATCAGAAGTACAGGCTTCCACAGCAGGAGTTCCAACGTAGCCCTCTGCACACGCAGCCACCACATCGAAGAGGCTGATTCTCAGGTTGTTCTCATTGACCGTGTAGCCTTCAGATGAAGCCTCTCGGTTTCACCGCTTTTCGTGCAGAGGCAATCCTAGACCCCCAAAGAACAACGCCGCACGAATTTGCATGCCCTGACAATGAAGACTCAAGCAAGCAGCCGGGGCCAGGCAGTGGCGAATGGCCTGGCAGCCGCTGAGGACGTACTTCTCCTCAATGCCCGCGGCTCTCCAGTAACGCTCTCTCCAAACATGATGTAACAGGGCGACCCATCAGCAACAACTAAGCATCAGCAACAAATTCGCCTCGGCTTCCTGCCGAGAAGCAGACCCGGATCGGGCCTCCTTCCCCCTAACCCAACCCTTCCTGCCATGCAAAATTTTGTGATATGACCCCTCCCCCCCCCCCCTGTGGGACCCCCCCCCCAATCGCTTGGAGGAGCTGCTGCAAACCGATGCCGTCGCCGTCGGTGGCTCCAAGAGAGTGCCTCAAACCCCCCCCCCCCCCCCAGCCCCCCAACCCCCCCCCCCTCCCCTTTTTGCGTAACCCTCTTTCCTCCTTTCCTGTCCTGGGGCCGGCCCGGCTGCCGAGGCGGCGCGCGCAAGCGTTTACAACTAAGCTGCTGAAATCAACAAGATGCAAGAACACAATCAGCTGTTCAGACAGGCAATTGCGGATACTTTGCTCTCCGCAGGCACTCCGGAGGCTCGGCGGGCTTCGTTGGTGGAGTGCCCGAGACCGAGCAGACGAGGAGGCGAGGAGGCGAGGCAGGATTAGCTTGACGAGACCTCCCCCCCCCGGAATTCCGCAAAATGAATTGGGTGACGCGAAATTTCGGCGAGGCGTTTGCATAGAGTTGTTGTCTAGAACCCCCCCCCAGTCCCGCACGCCCCCTCACACCAAAGGCGGGGATTGCGTTACAGGGGGGGGCGGGAGTGACACTCATCAGCATCCAACATTCATTTATCCACAGTTTCAGAAAGTCTCAAAGTGCACAAGGCAGGCAGGATTGAACCCGGGGTCATCAATTCTCGGACATCCTAGAAGTCAGAAAGGGTGACAGGAAAGTTGCAATCAAGAAATCTGTACTCTGCTTTTTGCTGTACCCTCCAGTCTGCAGAGGGTCAGATAAAGTTCGGGTCCAGAAAAGGCCAGGCGGGCTTGGGAGAACGACATGTACGCTGAAAAGAGCACAGGATAAGGGAAGAGGCGCAGCAGGAGGAGGAGCAGCGAAGTGTCGGAGGAATCAGAGAAATCCCAAACCCCAACGGCGGCAGTCCTTGTTGGCTTTGCATGCCTCCACTGTTGCTGTGCCATCGTAGCCGTCAGCGCACCTTGAGCTTTGTATGGCTTTGTATGGCTTCGTCACTCCATGCTTCCCGTGGACGTGTTCCGGGGTTTCCCCAATATGGGCTTCATTGGCCAGCGCGAGCACCTTGCGTCTAATTCTGGATGCGCAGGGACTCACGTAGGGAGCATGCAGTGTGCTGCAGCACAACATCTGGCCTTCCACTACTGCGGAGGGCGCGAATCCCGCAACCCAGCATTAAGAGCTTCGCTGGGTTTTTTGAGGGCTTTCGTCAGATGCGTGTTTATGGCTCCTTACACCCCTCCCCACATGAAGTCCGAGCAGCTTCGCAGTCACATCAAAGGACAAGATGTAGAGATTCTTCTCATCAATCTCATATCCTTAGCCATCAAGGATACTGTGAATGGTACTGTTGCTGAGAAATTTACGCCTCGGGGCACGAAAGAGATTTTCAGATTGCGTGAGGGTGCACGAAGCTGAGTCCGCTTGTCGACACAACATCCCTGACAAGTCCATGAGGTTGTGATGTCTCCACAGTTCAAGTCAACATACGTCAATAAAGAATCCGAATGAGCCACAGTCCTCAGAAATGACCGAAGTAACCTAAAATCGGTCCCTAACACATCGCTTGGTGAACACATCGAAGAACTTCATACCCCACCGCTAGGAAGGCCCCACTCGGTCGGGCTGCCCGCCTTGGGAAGGCCCCAGCCGCTTGAAAAGAGAGCTAAGGCCATGAAATCACATGCCCCCGCATCATGAACATCTTGAGGCAAGACTCCGTCTGAGACTGGAGCAACGCAAAGCTCCTGCCGAGCATGGCTGTCGACCCGAAACCCTCGTGAAAGATACACAAGAGCTAAGAGCCGCGTGCAAAGGGGAGCTAGGACTTCCTCTTGTTCCTTTTTGTGGTGTGCTCTAAGATCGTCTCAGGGAGGCAGAAGCACAAAGTGCCTACATAATCGGCCCTCCGAAGGGAAGCAAGTTTGAACTTTCAGAGGGGCTCCGCGACAGTCGTGGTACTGGTGCTGGTGGATGTCGTGGTGCTCGTACTGGTCGAAGTCTGAGTCGAGGTCGTCGTCGTAGTAATGGTGCTGGTGCTTGTTGATGTGGTTGTCGTGGTGGTTGAGGTGCTCGTCGTCGTTGTCGAAGTGATGGTGCTGGTCGTCGTGGTCGTCGTGGATGTGGAGGTGCTGGTGGTCGTAGTGGTTGTGCTGGTCGATGTGGTGCTTGTGCTTGTGCTTGTTGACGTAGTAGTTGTTGTGGTGCTTGTTACGGTGCTTGTGATGGTGGTGGTGCTGGTGATAGTTGAAGTTGAGGTGGTTGTAGTGCTGGTAGTTGTCGATGTGCTGGTAGTAGTTTCGGTGGTGGTGCTTGTGGTGGTGACAGTGGTGGTTGTCACGGTGGTGGTGCTCGTCGTAGTGGTAGTAGTGGAGGTGATGGTTGTTGTTGTGGTAGTGCTGGTGGTTGTTGTGCTCGTCGATGTAGTGGTGGTGGTTGTGCTAGTAACTGTAGTGGTAGATGTGATTGTAGTAGTTGTTGTGCTGGTGGTCGTTGCAGTGGTTGTCGAAGTGGAGGTGGAGGTGATTGTCGTCGTGATCGTGCTGGTTGACGTGGTTGTCTCAGTTGTTGTGCTCGTCTGAGTTGACGTAGTTGTTGACGTTGAAGTAGTTGTACTGGTGATTGTGGAAGTGCTCGTGGAAGTTAATGTGGTTGTGATTGTAGAAGTTGTCGTCGTTGTGATAGTGCTCGTGATTGTAGTCGTGGTCGTTTCCGTTGTCGTACTTGTGCTTGTCGTTGTGCTTGTGATCGTGGTCGTTACCGTTGATGTTGATGTGATGGTGGTCGTAGAAGTTGACGTGGTGGTCTTGGTCGTCGTCGTTGTGGTGGTGGTTGTCGAAGTTGTTGTGGTTGTCTCTGAGCAGCCACTTACGGTGTATGCCATGTCGTGCTCAGTGCATGCTGCAACTTCAGCAGTGCCCGCGTAGCCGTTGGCACACTTGGCTGTGACTGCAAAGCCCTTGCGACTAAGCTTTGATTCTGTCACCGTGTACCCTGTCGTGTCAAAGGGAGATCTGCACAGGTCAGCCTCGCAACCGCTGAGCGAAAACCTCAGAGCCAAGATTTTCTGGGCCAGAACAGCTGTGAACCGTAGAGCTACTGTATTAAAACTGTGGCATATGCCTCTTTGAAAGCCGGGCGGCTTCTTCCCGTGATCCGCGCACACCACGACCTCGGGGTCTGCGCCGTGATAGTACTCGGCGCAGGCAGCCTTGACTTCGAAGGAGACGATGGAAGCATCGGTCTCAGTCCTCGGAGCAACACTTTGTTTATGACACTTTTTAACACCCGTTTATTCCTTTTGTCTCAGTTCAAGAATGGGGGGGGAGGGCTCCCATGGGCGGCTTCCCTGTAGGTTTGGTCCAAGATTCAGGGTGTAGCCGGTCGTGTCATCCGGGCTTTGGCACATCTTCTTCTCGCATCCCTTCAGGATGTATGGCTGGTCACTTTTGGCACAGACCTGCAGTGGGGCGCGTGGCGTCTCCAGGCTCTTCTGAGGCATCTCGAAAGTTATCTCAATAGGGTTTCGGATGTTCAAAGAGGGCTTTGAGGGCTTTGGTAGGGCAACACTGGGCAGACTTTGGTAGGGCAACACTGGGCAGAGTAGGGTCCCGGCTGTTGCTGTGGCCGTGCCGTAATACCCAGAACTGCACGATGCTTTCACCTCGAAGTTGAGGACCTCCGGCCACGGGGGCGGGGGGGAGCGCTACTGGCAGTCTTCGGAAGCAGTAACTTGCAACATCCTGATATTCGCTGGCCCTAACATCCCCATGGTACTGTCACCCCTGATGCCCGGAAACCAAGAGCCCCAAACCTGCTTTGGCCTCCAAGCTCGTCTCGGTGACCTCGTATTCGGGCGTCTCCTTTTCCGAGAAGGCCGAGCAGTACGCGACCACCGTGGTAGTCGACGTGGTGGTTGTTGTTGAGGTTGTTGTGGAGGTGATTGTGCTTGTGGAGGTTGTGGTACTGGTCGTGGTGGTTGTGATGGTGGTCGTGGTGGTGCTTGTGGTAGTTACGGTGGTGGTGGAGGTGGTGGTAGATGTGGTTGTTGTCGTCGAGGTGGTGGTTGTGGTTGTGGAAGTCACGGTGGTCGTTGTTGTAGTTGTGCTTGTCGTGGTTGTGCTTGTTGTTGTCGTCGTAGCTTTGCAACCTGACACACTGTACGGCTGGCCATCTCCACTGCACTTCGTGATGACGGGGTCGCCCTCGTAGCCAGGCTTACCTTTGCACATGGCAACTTTCTTCGAAGTTCGAAGTTGCATCCATCCAAGGGCCCCTACCTTTTCCAAGCTCCCCGTTACGGCCAAGCGGCAGCTTGCCTGCACTTCGAAGTAAAGAATCTGCATATTCTTCTCCGTCCTTGCAGCATAGCCAACTTCAGGGAAAGAGCAACTCTGACATGACTCTGAGAGCAACTCTGAGGCCCAAGCAACTCATAGGCCTCAACGTCATCAGGGCTGGTACAGACCAGAGGCAGGCACCCCGAAAGCCTCGGGACGCACATCCCAAGCAATGCCGGAGCTTAGGACTTCGGGCTTGGGGATTGCGAGCCTCGGCCACTGCAGGGGGGAGGGCTCAATGCTGAAGTACTGACAACATGCCTTCTTTTCCGCACGAGTGACTGGTACGGCTCATGGTCATCGACACAGTCTTTGACGGAAGGCGCTCCCTTGTAGCCCTGGTGACAGAGACGCCACTCAACTTTGCTTTCTCTATAGGGGCCTTCCAAATCTTCCAATTGTGCTTCGCATCACCAGCTCAGCCAAGACTCTGTGGCGCATTTCGCCGTGACGTGGAGCTTGGACTTGGCCAGCGAATGCTCTGTCAGTAGGTAGCCGTCGACGTTGTCAGGCCGCACGCAAAACTTGGTACAGCCCAAGTTTTGTAAGCGTGTTCCGGGCTCTCTAGGCTTGCGAGATGCAGAGTTCACTCGCACCACCAGGACCTACCAGGTAAGGCGCGAACTTCATCGTACATCTCCTTTCGCACACATCAGAACGCAAAACTACGCCACCCAAGGGCAAAGTACGCAGAGTCCATGTCGTGTTGCCGTGTCTGTCCTCTGCTTTCTCGGAGAGGCTGATGGCTCTCCTTCCGACGACTGCGTATCGAAAGTCCCCGTTCATTGCCACTGCCTCAGCTCACGAAAAGGCGGAGGCAGAGGCGAGGGGGCTTGAAAGATGAGAAAACATGATTGCAGGGGTCAGAATGCAGAAAGCAATGCGGAAAGCCATGCGGAAAGCAATTCGGAAAGCAATGCGGAAAGCAATGGGGGGGGGGGGGCCTGCTTCGACCACGCAGATCGCAACCATTTGCCATTCACGGAATCCTGCGACCCCATGATGGAGGTGGCCACCCAATTCAGCACTTGCTTCCCCGACTTGGCCGCCGTGTTGTTGCCTTGAATGGTGAACTGTGGAACAACCATCCAAACAAGCTCACTGTGGGGGTTGCTGAGGTTACTGAAACGTGGAGTCGCATGTGAGAGAGAGAGAGAGAGAGACTGCACTCCCTCGCCTGCGGATTCGACCCCGGAGGTGATCTCGATGACAAAGCCAGTGGCACCGTTCAGCTTCTTGAGCCTCACACATCTCACGTTCGCACTTTCACTTGCACGTGCACACCAGAAAGTTGAAAGAAACCAAGGGCAGAGAAGGTGAACGCAAAACCAGCGAAAGGCAGAAGACAACAAGGTCGGAGCCATGACATGCCACGCGAAAAAAAACATGGGAAGTCGGAAGTCGGAGCCATGGGGCGGTATGGTCAGCATCAGGTCATACGGAGTACTTGGTGTCACCTTGAAGCCTGACGTGCTCAAGCGCAACTTGAGAGAAATGCTCCCTCCCAAACTTAGGAACTCAAAGGTTTGCAAGTCATCCTAGGTCTGTCAAGCGCAGCTCTTAGCTCAGCTGCGGGCTCCAGGCAACACCGGGCTTCGCAGGCGTCTTGCAGACATTCTGTGCAAAGCTGTCCTGCACCACATCACATGGACATCGCTGAGAATCATCCGTTACAATCCGTTACACCAGATGCAGACTTTGCCAAACTGAACGGGCGATACTAGGGATTCTCAGGCGAAACTTTCAGGAAGGTCCGCGTACGCGGGCTCATCTGGCGAGGAGCACACCTCAGCCGTCTCCGTCACAATCACCCCCAAGCCCATGCCTCCGTAGCCTCCCAAGAACAAAGAGAACAAAGAATAAACGCAGACCGAGGTGCCGTGGACGCGTCGCAACTCAGGCACTTCCCCGCTGTGCTTAGGATCCGGATTCCTCCGATCTCGGCCACGGTGGTGGCGCTGTCGTAGAAGCTGTCCTCGGACACGTCTCAATTTGCTTCAGATCCCCCTCTGCTGACAGAACTCTCAAAACCTTCTGCCAGAGACCTACAGGCAGGCCCAAATCTCAAGACCAGGGCCCAGCGTCTGCCTTCACTTTCACCACAAGCAAGCGCTTGTGTTCCAGCTCCAGGTCCTGGAGATAAGTGCCGGAGAACCGAACCCTAGAACTGTTCTGGAATCCTGGCAACCAAAGCGTGCGAAAGGCGTGAGGCCCGACAACTCCCAACATGAAAGGTCCTCGTGCTGGAGAAGATCCGACTGGGTCTGGTGGAGGAAGTTCCGCATCTTGCCAGACCAGACCTCGGGTTTAGGGCCGTCAGGGTTTAGGATGGATTTAGGGTTTACTCGGTTTTGGGTTTTGGGGTCTGGGGTTTAGGTTCGAACGTGGGTTCCCTGACCCCCAGCCCATCTGGGGGTTGATCCGAATTGCCTCTAAAGCATCGATTTCGAAGCACCCTTCATATAGAACACAGCCCACAAAGGCGCGGACATTGGATGATTGTAGGGCCAGGATGGCCCAAAAAACCTGGGCCACGGGTGCTCGCTGTTCTTGGGCTTAAAGACTTGGCGATTTGTGGGTTGGGTTCCTAAGCCGCCCTTTTTGGGAGACACTCGCAAGTGTGCGGATGGGGCGTTCCACTGGGTTGTTCCTCGGGTACCTTGCCATGAGATTTTTGCATGCATGGAAGCCAGTTCTGCCCATGTCGGAACACGACATCTGGATAGTTCGAGATGCACTTACACCCATGCCACAGGATACGGTGGAACATCGGCTAAGGATGCAAACGGCCCGCCTTTCTATCTTTCTTTCTTGGGGCATGAAGGGGCAGGATTGCCTCTCTGTATCTCTCCCTCTCCTCCCTCTGTCTCTGTCTCTCTCTGCGGCTAAGCAACTGCATTGATCCGCATGGGCCTCGGTGGCAGATGCATGTCCACAAAACTCTAGCACCACACAGTGATCGGACCACATCCAGCAGTCGGAGCTCACGGGTTTGCGGGAGTTGCTGTTTCGAAGCTGGTTGTACTGCGCAACAATGTGCCTGAATTGCCTTGATAATATCCAAAGAATGCAAAGGGTCGTTTTTGGGAGCGAGCATTTTTTTGTCAATTTTTCTGGTTTTTTTTGTGAGTTTTCTTGCTTTTTCTTGCTTTTCTTGTGGTTTTCAGAACATGCCCTCCTGGTTCTGCCTGTCGGGCATTTTTTTGTCAATTTTTTCTGGTTTTTTTTTGTAAATTTTCTTGTTTTTTCTTGCTTTTCTTGTGGTTTTCAGAACATGCCCTCCTGGTTCTGCCTGTCGTCCTCCTCTGGTGAGAATTCTTTTCTGTGCATTTTTCTGGTTTTTTTGGTGAATTTTGCTGGTTTTCAGCTTCCGATGGCCTCTCAGCGGCACCGCGTGTCCGGAACAGGTCCAAATCTCAACGTGCTACAACAACACATTACGTCCAACCCTTCGTCCTTTTGCAACTCGCGCTTGGAGCATCGGGGCGGCCATCGTTGGCCCCGATAGGACTCAACAGCTAGTTAACGTCCGGGGCTGGTTCAAGAGGAACCTCGGAAGCTTCAATCTGAAACTTTGCTTCGGTTTAGGGCTTACTGCGCATGTAGGCCGCAAACATTCTATCAGGATTTGCGGCTTATGGTGGACGGTTTGGGTCTTATTAGGCTCTACGGTTTGCGGGGTCAAGGTTGCTCCTCGTATCATTGCCCCTTCAGTCCGGAACTACGGCTTAGGGTTTAGGGTGTAGGGTGTGTTGCGGGAAGCGGGGGGTTGGGGGGGGGCAGCCCCCCCCATTTGCAAACACGATTCTCGCATGATGGGTTTCCGAAAATGTGTGCATATGGCATATGCTTTGAGGCAAGCTTGCACGGCTTGAGAAAGCGGGGGGTTGGGGGGGGCGCAGCCCCCCCCCATTTGCAAACACGATTCTCGCATGATGGGTTTCCGAAAATGTGTGCATATGGCATATGCGTATGGCATATGCTTTGAGGCAAGCTTGCATGGCTTGAGAAAGCGGGGGGGTTGGGGGGGGCGCAGCCCCCCCCCATTTGCAAACACGATTCTCGCATGATGGGTTTCCGAAAATGTGTGCATATGGCATATGCATATGGCATATGCTTTGAAGCAAGCTTGCACGGCTTAAAAAAAGCGGGGGGGTTGGGGGGGGGGCGCAGCCCCCCCCCCCCCCCATTTGCAAACACGATTCTCGCATGATGGGTTTCCGCAAAAGTGTGCATATGGCATATGCTTTGAGGCAAGCTTGCACGGCTTAAACAAAGCGGGGGGGGGGTATTTCTTTATTTCTTTCTTTATTTCTTTCTTTCTTTCTTTCTTACTTTCTTTCTTTCTTTCTTTCTTTCTTTCTTTCTTTCTTTATTTATCTCTTTCTTTCTTTCTTTCTTTCTTTCTTTCTTTCTTTCTTTCTTTCTTTCTTTCTTTCTTTCTCTCTTTCTTTCTTTCTTTCTTTCTGTCTTGCTTTCCTTCTTTCTTTATTTCTGTCTTGCTTTCTTTTATTTCTTTCTTTCTTTCCTTTCTTTCTTCCTTTCTTTCTTCCTTTCTCCTTTCTTTCTTTCTTTCTGTCTTGCTTTCCTTTCTTCCTTTCTTTCTTTCTTTCTTTCTTTCCTTCTTTCTTTCTTTCTTTATTTCTTTCTCTCTTTCTGTCTTTCTTTCTTGCTTAAAAAACAGAAAAAACACAAAAAAAAACCAGAAAAAAAAACACAAAAAAAACACCCTACCCTCGTTTTTGTCGAACTCATGCCTGTCCTTTCGTCAGGCGCGTACCTCTCTGTTTACTTGGGGACTCCTTTGCTTGAAGGCTGTATGCGACAAACACGCTGTTGCAACAAGGATACGCGCTGCCCAAGAGCCAGGAGGACCGTGTGTTCGTGTCCTGCAAGGCACGGCAAAACCGATACTCAAAGAGACGACTTCGAGAGATCAACTCTGAACCCCCTCCTTCGGCTCCTCTACGTTCGGCGAAGCAGCATAGCACTGCTACTGTAGACACAAGCCGAAATGGTGCCCGGGACGGGAGCAGAAATGCAAAACGAGAGGTGATTAATACAAGCATCCCATACAAGCATCCCCTCAGCGTCCGTATAGCATGCAAGGGGTCAGAGATCTCAATCGACGAGAGGAGAGCATCTCAGCTTTTTTCAGGTCTCTCCACCACTTCGCTGGTCTTCCTTCTTCTTCTCCTGACAAAGAGAGACGCCACACAAAAGAAGTGCATATTCGTAGCTAGCAACATCGTAAGGCAAACTTCTTTTGACTAGCGCGGATGCTCGATTCAGGCTCGTGTCGGAGCTTCCGCTGTGTCGAGCTCTCCTCGTGGGACAAGGCGGCAAACTGCAGCGTGAGCAGAACGATCATGGCCGCCACCAAACCCTGGGCGGCGGGTGATTCCGGCCCTCTTTGCTTTAGGGGCTTTGGGGCTTTGGGGCTTTAGATGGCTTTGGGGCTTTAGGGCTTTTGCACTGAAAAATCGAATCACCAACGGCACCAAAGAGCAACTTTTGAGACGTGCCTCTGCCATTGTCCAGTGCCTCTTTCCGCGGTACCAGGTGATGCCGAAAAGCAACTTGGCCCAAGACCCGCGCAGGTTAGGATGACGCGGGTCACAGCCCTTAACTCTGAGGAGTGTACTGAACTTCTTAAGTCTTAGCCCGGGACAACCATGGTAAAGCACTTCACAACATACTTGTGGACAGAGGACAGCCTTTTCACCTGCAAGGCAGACACAATGATGTACGGTCCCGACTTGAATCACAACCCCGACTCCACAATGAAGCAGACTCATCCTGGATAGACTCGCACTGCAACCAGAAGCCAAGTACCCACAACCCACAAAGGAAGTGCAAAAAGAGGAGACGTGCTGGCGCACCATCAAAGCGGTGATCCACGTGTCCAGCACATGAGTATAAACGACCAGGAAGGTCGTGTTGTCCTCATGTTCATGGCCAAAGAAATATATCCACCAAAAAATGCCATGTGCTACCATAGGCCGTAGGGCACACACTGCCAGGTGAGGCCCAGGCCCATCCGCTGAAGATATTCCAAGAGAAGCAGGACTCATTTTGGAGTCCCTGCACAACGTTGTAGACGAAGAGGAACATGAGGGTGCAGATGATTTCTCCGATCCTGGCGGGCATCGAGCAGTGAACCCACACTGTTCGAGACTAGGGTTCAGCCAACCCACGCATATCAAATGCCGCTAACACTTGCCTCATGTTGGTCATCGTCACGTGAAATGGCAGGGCGTTGGGTCGCTTGAGTGAGCTCTCCGCAGCCAGGTTTGCACCCACGTTGCTGATGACCTGCTAGCAATGAAGCCCTAGCGAAGGCATACGAAGGCCCCTGAAACCTTTTGAAGGAGCCCCCTGATTTGTCTTGCCGCAAACTCTGAAACCCTTCGGTCACGGCTTGGCTGGGCCCCGAGCCATGAACAGGATGTATTTCAGCTTTTTCAGGACCCCCCAGAGATCCAGGTCGGTGCGGAGAGCCTGTCAAAAGCAGAGACTAGCCTGACGGGGGCACTTTCCAAAGCAGGCGTGCCCACAGTGCATCCCCTGGATTGTCATTTTTGGCATTGGGAACCCCAAGCTCCGCTTTGACAAAGGTTGCATACTCTCACTTCTTTCCGGGTGTTCTCCCATGCTTTGCCTCTGCAGCCGCTTCTGCTGAAGACCCCTACACGGGCCCTACACGCGATGAACTCAAATGAACTCCCCCCAACTTCTGGGACTCGGACCACGATGGCCCCGCAAGCGCAAGAGATTGTCCAAATATTCAGCTTCAGGGCAGTGGAGTACCTCCAGCTGAGACTCTGAGAGGGCAGGGGCGCTGAATGCTCTTGGAGCTCTTGTTGCCGGGCAGGCGTGAGGCTTGGACCTGGGAGTTTCACAGACTCCGAGTTTCACCATGTTTTGCGGGAGTTCTCGAGCGTTCTTCGTTTGGATTATCAGGCTGAAGGCTTGAGGTGAAGCCACTCCGGAGCGGACTTTCAAGAAGGTGACGACAACCCTCTGAGACACGCCTCCTGCCAAGAACATACCGTGCCAAGTAGGCCGCCAGTGGGAGCTTCAACTGTCAGACTGCTCCGAGGAATACTCTTCAGATTCACAATTTCAGTACAGAAACGGCATGTTTCGACTGGCTGGCGCCTGCCCCACAAGCTTGATGAAAGCAGCGCTCTGCTTCTCAAAGGCCTGCCCAATACATTAGACAAAGAGTTGCCTTCTCCATCAGACAAGCTTTGCACCCCCCAACTAGTTCCAAGACAGTCCCAGCAAACACACAAAGAAAAAGCCGACAAGATCCAAACAAAGGCTATCGGCCATCACTTGCCTTTAGGAGTGAGATGCTGGAACACGCGAAAAGCCTGTGGGGCAAACGATGCACTGGGTCACACAATGCACACCTGACAAGGCAAGGCAACCCTTTACGTCTGAGCTTCATGCACAGATGCAAAAATGTTGGCGCGATAAAAGACCTTGGCATCAATGCTGCTCAAACCTCCAAGCCACTCTAAGCATCCCCAAACTCCATTTTCTAACTTTCCAGAAGCATGGCATCCGAGCTCTGGGCGTTCTCCAACGCCACGCACTGGTACAAGCCCCTGTTGACAGATCTTGACAAGTCTTGAGGCACGGTCTGTAAGGCGTGGGGCATCGGTCTTGCTTGCCGTGTGAACCGCCACATGCGGCAACGCGGCCTTCTTCCATCCCGTCGCAGTGCCCAGACAGCACCTTAGCTTGCGTCGGGCTCAGACAAGTCTCTGCAGATATCCCTCGCAGAGGCGGCCGCCGATGATGGCAGAAACAAAAGAGGTGACAAGCACGGCGCTGGCCTTCTGATAGCCTCCAGGAATCTCCACCGTATCGTCAACAAACCAATGTCTGAATACATCTCTGAACAAAGACTATCTGGGCAGCGCGCGTTGCGTAGCAGCCTCGCTGCAGAGGTTCACACCCACGTCGCAAGTGATGTAAACTGCCACGAGGCAGATGGACGACCTCAGCGCCAGGGCTTTGCGTGTACAGAAGCTTACGTGAACCGATGAAGGTACGCACCATAATAAGGCAGCCTTTTCACCGCCCTCTTGGGATGATAAAGCATCCTGCCAGGCGCTCATCTCAATGCTCTGGCACCTCAAGTGCCACCGGCCACCAACCTTGTTGCGCAGCGATCGCAGGGGCCGCCTGGGAGCAGTGCAGCATATAGTGCAGCGCTCACCAGGTATAACCTTACGTAACAATACAATGTAACCTCTCGAAGGCTTTTAAGGGCCCACCCCCCAATGCTGGGCCCGCCAGGTTGACCCTACTCCGGCACCTCCTTGACCGCATGGCAAGCGCAGCAGCCGCCGCATTGATTGCAAGGACCGCTGGCCCCAATGGCCTCAGAGGGTCACGTGGGGGTCGCGTGGGGGTCGCGTGGGGTCGCCATAGTCGCCATGCAGTCAGGAGAGCCCTTCGGCACCTGAGGGATGCACCGATGCCCGGAAGCTACTAGCCATTTAGCTCCTTGGCCTGGGTGCCCGTGGCATCCCACGTTCCCCGTGGCAACTTTGTGGCACTTTGTGGCATCCCCGGGCGGACACAGCTGCTGTCCCAGACGAAGCTTGAGGGAGCGGCTCGCATCAGGCCGATAAGAAGATTGAGTGCCAACGATGTCAGCCTGAGTTGGGATGCGAGAGCAAGCACTTCATGCTGCCTGCGTCATCCTACAATGTCACCCGATTTCCGCAAATGCCCTCTGGCAATTTGCAGCTGTGGACCGGGCCCGGAGGGGCGCACTGCTGCCAAGCTTGACTAGCCTGGCCGCCTCGCACGCGCAATCGCCCTCGCCCCGAGTCTTCGTTGTTCTCTCTGCAAGTTGGAATGATGAAGATTGGTGAAGACTGCTGAAGCTGTTCGAAGCATCGTGAAGCGTCGAGTCGCGTGCCTGGTGGAAGTCGCTCGCACCTGGCTCCAATCGTCACTTGCACACATGCCTGCGCATGCTTTTCAGGCAGCCACCTGGAGAGAAGCCGAGAGGAACCGCCATGTTGGCTCTATCCAATGCTCGGCATAATATCCGTGTGTATCCCTTTGGTAGTCAGCGTTGCGTTGTCATTGTTGGCTGAGATGATGGCATACCGCCGTCCAACCCTCAAGAGTTCGACCACGGAGACTTGACCCTCGAAGCCAGCCCTAAATACCCCACAAGAGCGGTCCTTCGATGCCCTGTTAGGATGCACGAGAGTGGACATGAATGAAAACCGTTCCACAGCCAGCACGGCTGCGCATGCACGAGGAATGGCACACATAAGAAAAAAGGGGAAAATTTGAAGTCAGGCGCTTCAAAAGCCCAATCCAGGGTCACGAGCACGCGCTCTGTTTTGCCCCTGCTTTGGTGAGCACCTGCTGGCCCGACCTGTGGTCGTCTCGCCCCAGCATCTCCGGCTCAGGAGTTTTAGGAGTTCTCCAGACCTGACCACAAAGAGCAAGGCATGGGTGAGGCGGGTGAGGTGTGGAGGGGGCTCAGAGTCCGAAAAGCTAACCAATGCTCCAGAGGCCGCCACCCTCCCCCTCTTCCAGCCCTTCTTCCTGACAGCAAGGGGTCGTGTCTGGAACTACTTCGAGATCCCCCATTTAAAGTTTTAAGGAATCGAACCAAGCGCCCCCTCTTTTGTTTGCAAGGCTGGCCGGGCGCTCTCGGCAGGTTTCACAGTGCATTGATCACGGAGATGATGTGTCAAGCGTCATCTGGCAAGGTGGAGGGTGTTCCTGACAAGCCTGCATGGGGCTCGCAGCAAAGCTGTCCCTCAACAAACTCTCAGCAACCCAGGCCCCCCACCCGAAAATATGGGACGACTGGGACCCTACTTGCCAGCTAGTCAGTTGATGAACAACTGTCGCGCGAAGAAGCGGAATGAGAAGGAGTCATGAACCCTAGGCAGGCAAACTCTCCCGGCAACCCTAACACAAGGCAGGCAGCTCTCTGCAGCAGCGAGGGACAGCACGCGCCAGGGTCACCTCGCTGCTCACACCTGCATTTTACAAGTTCAGGCTGTGCGCATCACCCCCCGCGCTCATGCCTGAGCCCAGCTTGAGCCCAATTTGAGAGCCCCCGCCTTTCGTCATCACAGGTCCCGCAGTGGCTCGCGCAGCACGCGGCCGGCAGGTCCGTTCGGTCCGTTCGGTTCGTTCGGTCCGTTCGGTTTCGGTGCTCCCTGACACCGAAGGAGCACGTGGGATCCCTTGAAGGCACCCCGAAGCTCCCGGAGCTGCCGTCGCGGCTCCCGAAGTTTTCACGCTCCGTGCCCAAGGAGGCCAGGGCCAGAAGCAGGTCGCCCCAGAACTTCACCTCGTCTGCCCGGAGCCGCGCGTTCAAACGCCGCATCTTCAGGCTCAGGGCCCAGAGCTCCGGCGAAGTCATGGCACCCACGAGCTGCAGAAGGTGCGGGATGCCTCCCAAACGCAACGCAGAAGCTATGCGGAAACCATGCAGAAGCACCGAACACAGGCGAGCGGCACAGGTTCATATACTGGTGTCTGTGCGTAGCACCTTCTGGAAGAAACATGCCGCCGAGGAGCTTTCGAAGGGCAGGAAGTAGGGGTAGCGGTAGAAGCTGGACCACTCCATGAAGTAAGCGTGGCGCCGCCACCCGCACAGCGACAGGACCCAGGGAGCTGTGGTGCGCCTTTGAGAGAAAAACAAACAGTTGTTGGGAGGAAGTTCCTTCAGCCCTTCTGGTGCCCCCAGAGGCCCAAAGGCCTCTTAAAGGAACTCCCAAAGTGCCGCCGCTAGGCTCTCTCTACCATCTCTACCGCTTCATTTGAAGAAGGCATGTCTGACATAAGTCTGGTCACATTGCCGATGCCGTCGCACCCGGCTGTGAGCCACAGCCATCATAGCCTCGCTTTTACGATCTCACTTCTCTCAAGCAGGCTACAGAAAAATGAAGGGTCGCACCGACCGGTCCCGAACAAAGCAGTTAACACTAGCAGAAGTCAGTCCAGCAGCTCCCACTGTAGGGCTGGCGTGAGTCCAGGATCAGGTCCTCCACTCGGTACATGAGGCTCTTTGCCGGGAAGAGGGTGGGCATCCCCATCGTCCGCAGCTCGTGCAACGTCAGCTTGGCATGACCAATGCCCGGGAAGAAGATGGCAGCTCGATGCTCGGCAATCTCCGAGTACGGTATCCGCATCGGCTCGTCCTTCAAGAACCGAAGCCGACAGCAGCGCTCCTGACTCGAGAGAGCAGAGCATGCAGAGCATGCAGAGCATGCAGAGCATGCAGAGCTCAACAACCGTGAAGAAGTGTTCCTTGCGGCACCTCTTTGCAAGAAGGCAAAAAAACAATTTCGCAACACATTAGATGCGTGTGATCATGTTCTCTGAGGCTCCGAGGAGGCGCCAGCTGCAGAGGACAGCTGCTTGAGCTTCAGGTACCAAAGGTGCCCGCGGAGTGACAGCGTCCAGCGTTTCGTGGTGCCTTCCCGCACGACAACCACCTCCTCAGCGGCATGCGAACGGACTGCAGGCTCTGTAGTGCGTAACTACTCTATCATCGTCGAGACCCATGACGAGCTTCTCCTCACAACCTGCTGACCAAGTCGCACTGAGCCGCCGCTGCGTGTAGCGCGCCTGAATGTAAGGCATCTGGAAGAAGCTCAGCTGGCCCGCATGGCTGAAGTTCCCCCGTCGGGAGAAGTCGAAAGCCATGGGGTAGTAGACGCGCTGCATGTCATCCTGCACCAGGACCCCAGAAACCCCACCGGAGCTTGAGCTTGAGCTTCTTGAGCTTGGTGGGCCACCGAAGTTCTCCAGGACCTTCCGATGCACCCATGCCACCCGATCTTCGAACGGCATTTGGAGGTCCAGATCCTGGAACGTGAGGCAGTGTGCCAGCATGGGTACCTGGGGGGCTCCCTCGCGCATAAGGAGGCAAAGCCAGAGGGGCCCAGCACAAACCAGGAGGGAGAAGGATGCCAGCGTGCGAGCCAGTTGCCTCAAGGCTCGTCGCACCACCAGAAAGTCCACCTGATCCCAGTCGCAGCAATAGCCCTCGATCAAACGCAAGGGCCGCAGTTCCGCAGGTTCTGTTAACAGAGGCTCCACGAGGTCCCTCAGCTCGTTAGATCTTGGCAGGTTGTATCCTCCGAGGGGTGCGCAGAGAACTGAGAGCGGCAAGGCCGGGAAGCGCCACTTGAAGAGCCCCACCAAGAACTCCGTTGCGTACCAAACGGGCACGGCAAAGAGGGCCGCGTGAATGGGGCGCCCTCGCCAGAAAGGGCGCGGGCCCTGCCAGCCGGTGAGCTCCCCAGAGGCCACCTTGCGCGCCACCTGCGACTCCAAACCCCGCCGGAACCGAGCGCCGTTGGCCAAGGCCTGCCAGAGGTTCTGCCGAGCGCTCCGGTGCTCCTCAGGGAGATCCAGCTCGAGTCCCCGCCACGGCCCAAAGTGGGCCGGGAAGGGAGGCGCCTCGCCGCTGGCCGGCTGCGGAAGCGGCGCGCCCACGCGCAGCAGGTTGAGATCGATGTCGATGGAATGGACACCCCATGTGGAGCGATCCAGGAAGTCCATCTCGCGGCAGCGACCCAACATGGACGACGCGGTCTGCAGATCAATCCTCGAGAGCTTCATGTTCTCCTCGCTTCGCTCGTCTCCGGTCTGGTCCAGGCGCGACAGGCGCGAGGCCGCGCGCACATAGAGCGCGACCACGTATCCCAGGTAGCAGAAGTCCCGGCGCCATCGGAGGAAGTCCTCCTGGAACCAGGCTGGGCTGTCCTTGTCCAATGTCAGGAGATGATAGGGATGAAATCCGCGACTGATGTCCCTAGCAAGGACACCGCGGCTGATGTCCACAGCTGCTCCGCAATGCGCTTGCTCCACCGCACTTCCATCGTCTGCGATGGGCCTGGAGCTTCCCAGCATGGACAGCCACTGCGTGGCCGGGACCTGCCAGCGCTTAAGGAGGGCCCGGGCCTTTCGGGCCAGAGCGTCACTAACCTCACTGCCCAAACCATCCCCATTGTCTGCAGCACGTTCCGCCAGCGCGTCTTGCCGGAAGGCCGACCACTCGCTGGACTCGCCGCAGGCTGCCCAGTCACCCGAGCGTATCTCCGACTCCCCCGGCCTTGCAGAATTCGCGGCCACGAGCACGGTGAGCACCCATCGACTGAGCGCGCGCAGCTTCGCAGTGCCTGGAGTTCGCAGGCCTGGCGCCCATCCCATACGAGCATGCTGAGGTCCCAGACTGTGCCTGAACGGGCACGGCCCTCCCAAACCAGCGCGCAGGGCCCAACTGTCAATGTCTTTGTTTCAGCCCAGGGCAGCGCGAAGTGCAAACAGCGACGATGTGAATGTGGCACGAGTCAGGGAAGCAAGAAACTGCACGGGGCAAGATTCCCCCTGTTTAGCAACACAAATGGGCATTACCGTCCTTCAGCTTCTTGCGATAGAAGAAGTCATCTGCCCATATCGGCCTAGAGAGTTCTGGAATGCTCCAGAAAGCCGTTTGTGTGTTTTGGGTGCTTGCGAGGACAGATAGTATGGAGATGGAATGTTTGTTGTGTGTTTTAGGGCTCGGCTCGTGCTTTCATGCGGGTGTGTACCATAGGCCGTGTCTTCAGACGCAGCCCCTGTCCATCGCTGTGGCACTCAGCCGGGCCGCCTGTTTGATTCCGTGGTCGGCGTGTTCTTCGGTGCCCGCGCCAGGTTCACCTTGATCCTGGCGACACAACGTTGAAACAACTAACGACTGGATGGACAAGACCCATGAGATTTCAAAATTCAGAGGATGATCTCCACTCAAGCTTTTATCAGCTTGAGGCTCTGGCACCCGGCCATAAAGCTCGGCCGAGTGCATGTTGTCGATCGCTGCCTGAAGATGTACTAGCACAGTGTCCAACAACGAGATTGGTGAGACTTAGAGCTTTTTCCAAACGGTGCCAGGGCACCTCCGCATCGTCCACTTCCATGAACTCCACAAAGCCAAACCCTCGGTGCCTGAAGGTTAGGGAAGGGAGAGTCGGGGGGGTGGGGGGCGAGGTTTTTCAGCGAAAAGACTTGAATTTGTGATGAAGCTTCGGCCATTCGGCCGTTTAACTGCATGTTCTGGATTTTGAAGTACGGGGGAACGTGGCGGCTTATGGGCCTCAGGGCCTCAGGGTCTCAAGGCTTCGGAGTCCAAAGCTGACACGCCGAGCTCGCGGCTTCCCTGTTTTCACATCCAGAGGGATCTCAACCTCGGAGCTTCCGAGGTGTCCAAATTCAAAGATTCGATTCTACTCGAATCACCAACAATCGAGGAGAGGGTTTCAAGGATCTTAGTGGGTCTTTTTCACCTGAGGCTGCGGCGGTTTTCAGGTCCCCGAACTTCACGAAGGCCTCCTCCAAAACCTTGCGGTCGACCTCTCCATGACCAAGGAGGAGGCACTGCACTGAGAGAGTGCCTGAAAGAGTCACACACAGCAAGAGAGTGGCGCCCCGCAAGACCTGCTCTCATGAAAACTCCATCATGGTTCATTCGCCAAACAATCAATAACTCCTGTGACTTGGCACTTGGCCCTTGCAACGAGCGCAGACAGTGCTGCAGAACACTCCCGGCACGCAAGGGTCTCTTCAGAAAGGCACTTCAGGTATGGGCCTGCTCGTCCAGGCCGCCCACGTACACCGTCCGCTTCATGATGCTCTGACCTTGCAAAGCCCAAAGCTACGATTGCTCCGGAAACACCACTCTCCCCCAGAAAAATCACTTTCAAGACCCCGGCTTGTCATCCTTCCAAAGGCGGCCGGTGTGGCAAAGCAAGTCTACTCAGTCTACGCAGGTCTACTCTCAGCTGTCGCACGTTTCCCAAGCACTGAACGCAGTGCTTCGATGCCAGAGTCGCATGCTTCACCGTGTGGTTGTTTGGGCGTGTGCTTGTCACATGACGGCAGGATGCCTCATTGGTCACATTGCTCCTCCCCCCTTTCTCCTGCTTCAGCCCGACGACCAACAGGAATGAATGAGGGGCGTGGGTGGAACATGTGGCTTCAATGAGGCGCCGATCTCGAAAAAGACCATGAAGGTGCTTGGTGAACCCCCAACCGCAGACCGTTCAAGGAACACCCTCAACACGGGATCGTGCAAATCTCCGAACGATTGCCTCACAAGAAGCATGCCCGAAACGCTGCTGGGCAACCTAAGTCACCCTGAACCTGCAAGTCTTTAACCAATATTAATAATCAAGTATCAGAATGAAGACATTCCCAACAGATTTATCCAGTTAGCGAAGCCCTAAAGGTCCAAATAATATAACAAATTTCATATCCTAAAAGAGAAGGAATCCATTAAATTATGTTATTATATGGACGAATATTTAGATGGGTTAACTGTATTTCTGAATTCCTTTCATGGTACAGTCTTGGGGCTGGCAAAGCTGGCTTCTGCCAAAAAAAGGGAGACCAAGAAAACCAATATACAGGTTTCCTTTCCTTTACTGCCGGGGTCTTGGGGCTAAGGAGGTGTTAGGGACTGCTTCTGCTTTGCCTCTCCTTTCAGTTAAGAAAGCGTTAAGAAAACGGGTGGCCACTGAATCTGCGAAATTCGAGGACGATGGAACTTCAGAAAATCGTGACTTCTGACCTCGCCGGAAATTCGACTTAACCAACGCTAATGAACAACAAGGCGCGAACAAGCCTCGAGCAAATAAAGGGACTGCCCCATGTGCGCAATCTAATCCTTCTACTGGTTCATAAACGGGCGTTTCTCAAGATCAAACTCTATCATCCTTTTTGAAGGGGTACATCGGAGAATAAGGAGAACCTCATACCCTGACCCTATGTACTAGTCGCTAGTGTAGCATTTTATTCTCAAGAGAACGGTCGATCATCAGAAACAAGGGGTTGACGAATATGCTGTGTTCAGAATCCTGCAAGGAAGGCCTTAAACAAGACAAGTACCTGAACAACAGCGCACGGGAACTGAGCCAAAACAAACAGGACCAAAACCCAAAGCCCCAATGTTGTTCTTACCCTTCTTGCGCTTCTTTCTTCTCGGCTCGGGCAGGGTCCGAATCACCAAGCCGACGAGGCAAGCGCCTCTTGCAAGGGCCCCAACGACCGGGCGTCGGGATTCTCAACTTTGCAACAAAGCGCCAGCCCCTCCAGTCACTGGCCGCACTGACCGCGTTTGTCGGGCCGCCCAGCCGCTGCCTGCTCCAGAAGTCCAAAAAGTCGAAGGTTCCACGGTACCCAGTCGTGGAACATTCTGACGGATTTGTCATTCAACGTGGTCATGCGGCATGTGGCAAAGGCAGGTCTAAGGTAGTCTGCTCGGCAAGCATCAGCAGGCATCGCCAGCGCGAGTGGCATTGCTGGATATGGAGATCCATGTCGCTCAAGGCGGGCTCACGACAGCGAGTGTCAAACACCTCTTCAGCGCGATAACCTGGGACTGCATTAGGTTCATTGTTGTGGCACCCCACCAGTAACAGTCGTGGCGGCACATCGCTTCTGACAACGCCATCACCAGCATCCAACAGTCAGAAGGTGAGAACTTGGGCTGCTGCACTGTCATCTGGCATCAGGACACGTGTATAATCCACATCCGTGCCCCACACAACCAGAGAGCGCAGGAGGACTTGGATACAACAGGATGAATACTGAATAAAAGCACGAGCGCATCGGCTGCAATCTTGCGAAGCGCTGTGATACCAGTGGCAGACCTGGGCCATCACCTGGAGGCTGGAGCTCAACCCAGCTTCGCAAGACCTTGGCAACAGTGGCTGGCGTGGCTGAAGGAGCTCATGCATCAGCAATAACTCTGCATGAAATACCCAGCACACCCCAGCGCATACCAACACCAACACCACACTAAGCACAAATATTGTGGAGGACAAAGCCTGGAGGACAAAACATGAGGCTGTAGCTGTGATCTGAAAGCATCCTCGTCACAAGGTCTTATGCCTTACACGCGGCCAGGCCATTGATATGAAATTAAGTCTTGGGCTCCGGTGCCTCAGGGCAAGCGCTGCCATCCTTGCCACGCCTGCAGCATCACTAATCAACATCACCGTCATAGCTCATAACCATCAGTCGAATGCCTTCTGCAGCTTAACAGAGCACGGAATGCAAGAAATGGCACAAGGTCACTGCATCTTTTCCCCGGTGCTGTCCCCCTGACTCTCCAGCTCACTGCTCTGACGAGTGCATGCGGTGCAGTGGCCTGAGCGGCGGAAATACCAACAGGAGAAAAGAGAAAGGAAAACAAAAAGGAGAGAGAGAGAGAGAGGCAACCAAAACCATCAGCGAAAAACAAAAAAAAGGGCGGGACCTGTGGAGCCAAAAAGTCACCCCATTTTCAAGCGAGCGCCTGGCACAGGTCATCATGATGTAGGTACGAAGATTCGCAAGCTCCAGGTCCCCGACAGTTGCACCAGCAGCACCACGATGAGGCCTCGATGGCCTCGACACAGCTACAACATCATGCATGCTTCTTGACAAGCTTCCAGGTCCCATGCTTTCCGCTGTCTAAGGCGCTGGCTTGAGGAGCACGCTGCACAGGTGGGTCGAAGGAGTCGACGGTCGGCCTCAAAACAACCCTGTGTGCATGTAGACGCGGCGAAACCAAAGAGCAGGCTACATACAGCGCAACGCGTGATCGATGCGAGGTGATTAAGCCACGGACAGAGGGTTCATGCGCATCTGATGGTCTCCCTGCACCCAACGCAATGCAACAGAGCCAAAGATGGTCGCTGGCTGGGCCGCCGGCCGGCAGCTTCTGTTTCTTCATGTTATTGAGCTTCTTGGCAACTTTGGTGCCTTCACATCTAGATTAGCGCTAACGGCTTCGAGTCCAAGGTAAATCAACATCGGTGATTGCGCTTTCCGCATAAGCATGCACTTTGGTAGTTGTCTCGGGGCAACCCGACGAAGCTTGGCTTAACTGCCACGCGCCGAGATTATGACTCGGACCGTCACGGATCGACTAAACGTTCCTGAGATGGCCCCATAGGTGTGTCCCAACGCTCTGCGCTCCTGTGCCCACCTCCTACGTTTGGGCACCTTGCCTAACTGGGCTAGGAGTTAGAATTTCGGACTCTCGAAGCAGGCAGAGTTCATGGTCCGAGTGCCGGGTCTGCCGCAGTGGGTTTTCTGAAGAGGTTTCAATTTATTTCGGAATTTCGCGGGAAGTTACTGATTTCCTGAACTTGCATGCTTCCCCACGCACGCAAGGTACGCACCTCAGACTGCCTGCATGTACATGCAACTTGGGTGGGTAGCGGGCGACTCCCAAATAATCTCAAAACCGCTTCCAAAAAGTGAGAGTTGGGAGTTGTGAGCATACCGCAGCATACCCCTAAGCATGCCGAGGGTTGCCTTGGTCGAGTTAGTGGGGTAGGTTGCGTCGATTGGAAGAAAGAAACTGCCCCCGGCAGCGTGAAAGTAGCGCTAGCGACACTGATTCACGTGCGCGCAAGTTTGCTCTTCTCCATGACGCCATGGCCAATCTGGAGGTTAGGGCGGGCCTGGAGCTGCTGAGAGCCAGGCGCCGCCAGATGTTCTTGATGCCGGCGATGCTTCCGATTCCGATATTTGCGTTGGCACAGTTGATGAGTCGGGCTACGGGCTGCTGCGAATATGTAAAGAGACGGCACGTCTCGCCTGAATTCTTGCACAATTGTGAATCCCATTGTCAACACACGCCGGCCGAGAAGGCACGTCACGAGCTTGGCTCCGTAATTTCTGGCCGTGCAAACCCACCACGATCCAATAACGACTACGAAAATATTGAAGCACTGATCTTTCTGTCGCGATCCGTTTGAGACTTTGCTGCATCCTTGCTATAGTAGCAGCACGAACGAAATCACGGGCTCTGGTTGTTCTGTATAGCTTGCGCATGAATGGCAACAAGAGCTTCGAGAAGATGAACCAACGACAACATCCCACCTGCCGCAGCGGTACGCGCAAGGGCCGTGCCGGCAGGAGCAGATGGTTGCCCTGAACTACGTTCGAGCGGAAACAAGGCTTCTGAGTCAACCCCTCAATCGCTATGGGCCGCACATTCTCGAGTAGGACTTGGAGTTGCGTCCCTCACGACCTAGCAAGGCGGGGCTTTCCATGGCGCTGCCACAACTTCGACAGAAGCATGTTATGCGAACATCACAACTTTGCGTTCGCGACGGTGTTTATCAACTCAAAATGCAATTCATTGCGGAGCATCGGTCCACCTCAAGTTGAAAGTGAGAAGACAGCCGCATGAAAACCAAGACGACATCTCCACAACAGCGCATGACAAGCACACGAGAGCTCCTGTCCTCTAAGGTTCTAGGGCCCCGACTGCTCCACTCAGAGCCCCAGCCACTTGCTCGGATGCCAACGGGCTTGGATCCTGCGAACCGACAGTCGAAAACCTTTGGGCGTGTTGTCGACTTGTCGACTACGAATTTACCACAAACCCCCCTGCCCATGCAGCACATGCTCCTGGTGCCCGAACGTTGTTGCACAAAATCGTGTAACCGCAAACCGGTTCTGACCCGAAAGACAAGAGTACTTAGCACTTCTCATATTTTGCCTCTAGTCGGCAAGGCTCCACCTCGTCGAAGCCGACTCGCCGCAGAGTGGACGCCAGCTGCTCCTGCCCATGCAGCACACGGCGGCACACGGCGCCCGAACATTGCTGCACAGAAACGTGTAGCCACAAGGTTTTTGCGAAATTGAGAACGGAACTGGGGCTGAGGCTGACATCTCCTCCCGGTCCTGGCGAGCATGCGGAACCGAACGCGAAAGGATGCGCCAAAGCCTCTGCGCAGCTTTAACGAAACTAAATTTCTCCCAAGACATTGCAAAATCAGACATCGCGTCCTGTGCCAGGGGCGGCCGCTCCCAATCCAGAGCCTCATGTTACGGACGGTAAGGACTGATGGCAGAGACGCTTCGAAGACATGGGCTTCGACGGGGTGCAGTGTTGACTAGACGGGTCTACATCGCGCGACATGGGTTTTGACGAGGTGACTTGCCGACTAGAGATGTTGGCTTCTCGTATGCATAGACCTATCCCTACCTGTACCACCGCCCTAACATAGACTCCTGTCAGTTTCCAAAGCCACACCCCCTCCAGACCTTCCCTCTCGAACTGTAGATCAGTCTACCGTATCGACCCCAAATCTTAGAAACAACAAATTAGCTGCGTAGCTCCGGAGGTGTGTGTGGGGATGTGTTGTTGAAACGAACGGATGATGAATGTGCCAAAAGGAAAAAGCGCCACTTTGTTGCGGTGTGTTCTCCTTCCAAGAGTGCTCGCGCCGGAAATTTATCTTGCCATGTCGAAAAACGAGAAAGAAAGCGCCGCTTTGTTACGGCAGGTTTTCCTTTCAGAAGTGCTTGCGCCAGAGTTTTTTCCTGCCATGTCACTCAGGGAGAAATCGTGCCACTCAAGTTACGGAAGGAGATGTTGTCGCGCCGGACATATATCTTGCCATCAAAAGCGCCAATTCGCTACGGCAGGTTTTCCTTCCAGAAGTGCTCGCACCGGAAGTTCATCTTGCCATGCAGCATAGGGGAACAGAAAGGCCACTTTGTTGTGGCAGGTTTTCCTTCCAGAAGTGCTCACTCCGGGAATTTCTGCCATGTCGTTTCGCGAACAAAAGTGCCACTTTGTTACGGCAGGTTTTCCTTTCAGAAACAACGAAACTCTGATGCGGCAGGTGTAGCTTCTAGAAGTGCTCACGCCGGGAGTTTTTCTTGCCATGTCGTATAGGGAAAAACAAGCGCCGCTTTGTTACGGCCGGTTTTCTTCGCAGCAGTGCTCGCGCCGGAAATGTGTCTTGCCATGCCGTATAGGGGCTCGCGCCGAAGATCTATCTTGCCACGTTGTAGAGGGATGTATAGGGTAAAAATGCGCCATGTTGTTACGGCAGGATTTCCTTCCAGAAGTGCTTGCGCCGGAATTGTATCTTGCCATGCCGTAGAGGGGAGACAGAAAGGCCACTTTGTTACGGCAGGTTTTCCTGGCAGAAGTGCTCGCGCCGGAAATTTATGTGGCAATGTCGTGCAGGGAAAAGAGGCACCACTTTGTTACAGCAGGTTTTCCTTGCAGAAGTGCCACCTCGTCTAGGGAAAAACCAGCGCCTCTTTGTTACCGCAGGTTCCGCAAGTGTCCTTCAAAAAGTGCTCGCGCTGGAGATTTATCTTGTCATCTCTTCAAATAAACAAAGCACATGCAGCTTAACATTTCGTGCAACAAAAGAAAGAGCGCTGTTTTGTTACGGCAGGTTTGCCTTCTACAAATGCTCGGGCAGGCAATTTCTCTTGCCATGCCCTGCAGGAAACAGCAAGGCCACTTTGTTGCGAGGAGCTTTCCTTCCAGACGTGCTCGCACACATTGTCTTGCCGTGTCACACGAAAAGCAAAGCGCTACTCTGTTACGGTAGGTCGACTTTCCTTTAAGTGCTCTTCGTTCCACTGCCTGGCCTGTTGGCTTCAGGGTGGGGACCAAAACCTGTTAAAGTGCTTTGTTCACTGTGAAGGGTCATTGCAAAGGGTCAGTGATGAGGGCTTCGGCTCCACATCCCCAGGCAGAACCGGTTTGTGGCTTCACGTCGCTGTGCAACCATGTTCGGGCGCCAGGAGCACTGGGTTTCGAAGAGGCTACTTGCCGACTGGAGACACAACATGAAGCAGTGCTAAGTAATGCTGTCTTCACGTCATGCAGAACCACATTGCGGCTACGCGTTTCTGTGCAACTACGTTCGGGCACCAGGGGCCCTTGCAGGGGCTGGAGCAGCTGGCGTTGACTTGCCGACTAGAGGCAGCATATGAGAAGTGCTAAGTACTCTTGCCTGTCGGGTCATGCAGAACCGGTTTGTGGTTACACGTTTGTGTGCAACAACGTTCGGGCGCCAGGAGCATGTGCTGCATGGGCAGGAGCAGCTGGCGTCTACATCGCACGACATGGGTTTCGACGAGGTGACTTGCCGACTAGAGATGTTGGCTTCTCCTATGCATAGACCTATCCCTACCTGTACCACCGCCCTCACATAGACTCCTGTCAGTTTCCACAGCCACACCCCCTCCAGACCTTCCCTCTCGAACTGTAGATCAGTCTACCGTATCGACCCCAAATCTTAGAAACAACAAATTAGCTGCGTAGCTCCGGAGGTGTGTGTGGGGATGTGTTGTTGAAACGAACGGATGATGAATGTGCCAAAAGGAAAAAGCGCCACTTTGTTACGGTGTGTTCTCCTTCCAAGAGTGCTCGCGCCGGAAATTTATCTTGCCATGTCGAAAAACGAGAAAGAAAGCGCCGCTTTGTTACGGCAGGTTTTCCTTTCAGAAGTGCTTGCGCCGGAGTTTTTTCCTGCCATGTCACTCAGGGAGAAATCGTGCCACTCAAGTTACGGAAGGAGATGTTGTCGCGCCGGACATATATCTTGCCATCAAAAGCGCCAATTCGCTACGGCAGGTTTTCCTTCCAGAAGTGCTCGCACCGGAAGTTCATCTTGCCATGTAGCATAGGGGAACAGAAAGGCCACTTTGTTGTGGCAGGTTTTCCTTCCAGAAGTGCTCACTCCGGGAATTTCTGCCATGTCGTTTCGCGAACAAAAGTGCCACTTTGTTACGGCAGGTTTTCCTTCCAGAAACAACGAAACTCTGATGCGGCAGGTGTAGCTTCTAGAAGTGCTCACGCCGGGAGTTTTTCTTGCCATGTCGTATAGGGAAAAACAAGCGCCGCTTTGTTACGGCCGGTTTTCTTCGCAGAAGTGCTCGCGCCGGAAATGTGTCTTGCCATGCCGTATAGGGGCTCGCGCCCAAGATCTATCTTGCCACGTCGCAGAGGGATGTATAGGGTAAAAATGCGCCATGTTGTTACGGCAGGATTTCCTTCCAGAAGTGCTTGCGCCGGAATTGTATCTTGCCATGCCGTAGAGGGGAGACAGAAAGGCCACTTTGTTACGGCAGGTTTTCCTGGCAGAAGTGCTCGCGCCGGAAATTTATGTGGCAATGTCGTGCAGGGAAAAGAGGCACCACTTTGTTACAGCAGGTTTTCCTTGCAGAAGTGCCACCTCGTCTAGGGAAAAACCAGCGCCTCTTTGTTACCGCAGGTTCCGCAAGTGTCCTTCAAAAAGTGCTCGCGCTGGAGATTTATCTTGCCCGGACATATATCTTTCCATCACAAGCGCAATTTTCCTTCCAAAGTGCTCGCACCGGAAGTTCATCTTGCCATGTAGCATAGGGGAACAGAAAGGCCACTTTGTTGTGGCAGGTTTTCCTTCCAGAAGTGCTCACTCCGGGCATTTCTGCCATGTCGTTTCGCGAACAAAAGTGCCACTTTGTTACGGCAGGTTTTCCTTCCAGAGGTGCTCGTGCCGGAAATTTTTCTTGCCGGGCGTATAAGGAAAAACGCCTTTGATGCGGCAGGTTTGGCTTCTAGAAGTGCTCGTGCCGGGAATTGTCCTTGCCATGTCGTATCGGGAAAAAGCAAGCGCCGCTTTGTTACGGGAGGTTTTCTTTGCAGAAGTGCTCGCGCCGGAAATGGCAGGTTTTCCTCACAGAAGTGCTCTGTGGCCATGTCGTGCAGGAACCAGCGCCCCCACTTTGTTACAGCCGGCTTTCCTTGCAGAAGTGCTCGCGACGGAAACTTTTCTTGCCACGTCGTTTCCTTCAAAAAGTGCTCGTGCCGGAGATTTATCTCGCCATCTCTTCAAATAAACAAAGCACATTCCGCTTACCATGTCGTACAATAAGAAAGAGAGAGCGCCGCTTTGTTACGGCAGGTTTACCTTCCGGACGTGCTCGCACAAACCCGCCGACCCGCCCCCCCCCCGTCTTCAGAGTTTCAGAATGCCCCCCTTGTCTGGCAGGCAGGCAGCCCACCCATTCGGGTTTAATCTCATCTGGCCTTTTCTCTTTTCTTGGTTTGACATGGGTATGTTGAGAGTGGGAGCAGACAGTGCAGGCCCCGCCTCCCCAAACCCCCCCACGTCCCTCCTCTCCAGGAGCTGCATTGGGCTAGAGTTGAACTTGTACTTCTGTTTGAAACTGTTTCCTTATGTTTTCATTTTACGTGGCCACATACTCGGGGAGACGCGCAAAGAGGGATGGAGGGAGGCAGAGGGAAAGATAGAGAGAGCTAGAGAAAGCTTTAGAGAAAGCCTTAGAGAAAGCTTTAGAGAGAGATAGAGAGGCAGGCTTGCAGGGGAGGAAGCGAGAGGCATGGGAGGCAGGGAGGGCAGAGAGGCAGAGCATGTAAGCGCGAACCTCTCAAATCCCACACTTCTGACTCACCTTTCCACCAACCCTACAGTCCTGGCCTGCGAATTGTAGTCGAACGCCTTGCAGGCACATTTGCCTATGAAACATAACCACAAAACTCTCTCTAAGGACGCAGGACGGTCTTGCATCACCAAGCTGTGTTCGGTTTGGCGTTTATCTGTTAGCGGGGGGGGGGGGGTTCCCTCTTGACTGCTCGCCTGCGACGACATGTCTGTCGGGTACGTGTCCTGGCACAAGACAAGAACAGGGCCGGCCCATTTAACAAGTGCCAACGTGATGCCAACAACGAACGTGCGCTTACATTAGCTCAAAGCTTCCTCTCATAAACCACCTTCCTCTCATAAACCACCCTTGACACCACTTCGGACCGCTTCCCAGCTTTCAAGTTCGGCAGGTGGGCGGAAGGGTAGTACGCCGCTGCTGGATCCTCAGATGCATGCTGCTGTGTTGGCATGTCCTCTCCACGCACTCGCACTGCTAGGAGTCTAATGTCAGGACCTGCAGAGACATACCTCCTATCAACGTCTCGATAAGGCTCAGTGCCGGCAGCTTCCTCCACCAGTCTGACTAAAAGTGCTTAAAGAGGCTGAATTTTGGGCCTCTCAACACCCCTCCCTAAACTCACAAGAGTTACCGTGGCTTTCAATTTGGGATCCGGGCCATGGCCTCATAGCCCTGCGGGCAAGCAGCGGCACAGGAGACTGCAATCCGGCCGGCTACCCACACCCGAACACGGCGTACCGACGGTTGATCTTCGAAGCCCGTGGCTGGTCATGTACCGCGCATTAGTGTGCCTTCCACATTCCCAGATTACCGCGCACAAGGACAGCCTAAGACAGGTTTCTCGCCGTTCGAAGTCCTGTATCTCCCGATCGCCCCCAGACCCAAAGGCTGTTCAGGCTTTCTTGAGACGGGGGAGCTCAGCCTGGGGCCAGGCAGCATTGCCAACATCCTCTTGCCGAGGACAAGCTTCAGCCTCGGCTGTGAGAGTCTAAGGTTGACGGAGTCTTCTTGAGGCTGAGCCCTTCCACGAAAGTTAAAGCTCCAAAGTCGTCACAACACCGCACGTGTATCCGAAAAGTTACAGGAAACCCGAAGGCCGAGGTTCCTAACCCAAATGACATCAAAATGGGCCAGCGCACCACCATCTCTCGCGGCAGCTCACCCTGGTAGACGCCCTGGCATCAAGCTTCACTTGTCCACATGTCAATGACTACACGCGGTGGCTGCTTTCGCTGCTGCGCAAGTCAATGCAGCGAAAGCCCTCAGCGGCCCTACAAGAACATAGCGTTGGTCCGGGCACAGGAGACTGCAATCCGGCCGGCTACCCACACCCGAACACGGCGTACCGACGGTTGATCTTCGAAGCCCGTGGCTGGTCACGCACAACCGTAAGTCATGTACCGCGCATTAGTGTGCCTTCCACATTCCCAGATTACCGCGCACAAGGACAGCCTAAGACAGGTTTCTCGCCGTTCGAAGTCCTGTATCTCCCGATCGCCCCCAGACCCAAAGGCTGTTCAGGCTTTCTTGAGACGGGGGAGCTCAGCCTGGGGCCAGGCAGCATTGCCAACATCCTCTTGCCGAGGACAAGATTCAGCCTCGGCTGTGAGAGTCTAAGGTTGACGGAGTCTTCTTGAGGCTGAGCCCTTCCACGAAAGTTAAAGCTCCAAAGTCGTCACAACACCGCACGTGTATCCGAAAAGTTACAGGAAACCCGAAGGCCGAGGTTCCTAACCCAAATGACATCAAAATGGGCCAGCGCACCACCATCTCTCGCGGCAGCTCACCCTGGTAGACGCCCTGGCATCAAGCTTCACTCATCCACATGTCAATGACTACACGCGGTGGCTGCTTTCGCTGCTGCGCAAGTCAATGCAGCGAAAGCCCTCAGCGGCCCTACAAGAACATAGTGTTGGTCCGGGCACAGGAGACTGCAATCCAGCCGGCTACCCACACCCGAACACGGCGTACCGACGGTTGATCTTCGAAGCCCGTGGCTGGTCACGCACAACCGTAAGTCATGTACCGCGCATTAGTGTGCCTTCCACATTCCCAGATTACCGCGCACAAGGACAGCCTAAGACAGGTTTCTCGCCGTTCGAAGTCCTGTATCTCCCGATCGCCCCCAGACCCACAGGCTGTTCAGGCTTTCTTGAGACGGGGGAGCTCAGCCGAGGGCCAGGCAGCATTGCCAACATCCTCTTGCTGAGGACAAGCTTCAGCCTCGGCTGTGAGAGTCTAAGGTTGACTGAGTCTTCTTGAGGCTGAGCCCTTCCACGAAAGTTAAAGCTCCAAAGTCGTCACAACACCGCACGTGTATCCGAAAAGTTACAGGAAACCCGAAGGCCGAGGTTCCTAACCCAAATGACATCAAAATGGGCCAGCGCACCACCATCTCTCGCGGCAGCTCACCCTGGCAGACGTCCTGGCATCAAGCTTCACTTGTCCACATGTCAATGACTACACGCGGTGGCTGCTTTCGCTGCTGCGCAAGTCAATGCAGCGAAAGCCCTCAGCGGCCCTACAAGAACATAGTGTTGGTCCGGGCACAGGAGACTGCAATCCGGCCGGCTACCCACACCCGAACACGGCGTACCGACGGTTGATCTTCGAAGCCCGTGGCTGGTCACGCACAACCGTAAGTCATGTACCGCGCATTAGTGCGCCTTCCACATTCCCGGATTACCGCGCACAAGGACAGCCTAACTAAGACAGGTTTCTCGCCGTTCGAAGTCCTGTATCTCCCGATCGCCCGCACTTGAGACGGGGGAGCTCAGCCGAGGGCCAGGCAGCATTGCCAACATCCTCTTGCCGAGGACAAGCTTCAGCCTCGGCTGTGAGAGTCTAAGGTTGACGGAGTCTTCTTGAGGCTGAGCCCTTCCACGAAAGTTAAAGCTCCAAAGTCGTCACAACACCGCACGTGTATCCGAAAAGTTACAGGAAACCCGAAGGCCGAGGTTCCTAACCCAAATGACATCAAAATGGGCCAGCGCACCACCATCTCTCGCGGCAGCTCACCCTGGTAGACGCCTTGGCATCAAGCTTCACTTGTCCACATGTCAATGACTACACGCGGTGGCTGCTTTCGCTGCTGCGCAAGTCAATGCAGCGAAAGCCCTCAGCGGCCCTACAAGAACATAGTGTTGGTCCGAAATGGGGTCAGGCATGCGCAGAGCATTTCACACTACCATCTGCATCCCTCGGTGCAGTTAGCAGTTGTTGAGTACAGGTGAGCCGGGGTCCTGCGCAGACTCGTAGTGCCACTCCGCCTGGAACTGCAGTGGAGTCTGCGACGAGTTCTAGCGTGAACCATGTTTGCCCCTTCTCGCTTTACAAGACCTACCATTCCTCGGGGTCTATTCATACAACCTCACGTGCTACTTGTGCTTGGCACAAGAAGTTCAAGCAGCAGCAGTTCAGACCTTAGGGTTTAGGCACTAAGTTCCCTCATGGCCTCCATCTTGAACTCCTCAGCATTCACATTGAGTCCGTTTGTCGGCTCCTGGCATGAACGCAAGTAGGGCTGGTTAAGCATGCCATGGCGAGTTGTCAAAATCAGGGATCGTTTTGACAGCTGGCTCTGTGATGTGCAGCTTTAGCTGGATGTCTGATCGGATAGGAGTTGCAAGCAGGCCAACAACAAAACTTTGGAAGAACCCATGGGTGCGTTATGACATGAACGCTGCAAAAGAAAAAGGATAGGAATTGGCATGCTTAGTCAAGCAGGGCTTTTACACGGCAGAATAGTTGGATTTTAGACAGGGGAATAAAAAGTTAAACGGGGGAATAGAAAAGTGGAGTTGTGCACATTCATGCTGCCAAAAGCCTCTATCATTCAAGCTCGCTCTCTCCCATCTGTTGGCAAGATCTGGCAAGGATGAGTCTTGCCGGCTCTGTTGCAGTGGCTTAGGGGATCTTCAAGGCCCGGTGCCAAAGCTGGAAGTTGACTGAACGTTGTGCTGGTGCCTTCCTCCAGACCACTTCGACAGGGCACGCCTGGGACCGCATCCCCTAAGATTCGAGGTCAGCTTACGCCGCACACTCTTTACAGCTGATCAAACAATTGCACGCTTGTCAAGTTTAGCCTTTCTCCGCAGTAGCACTTGAACCACTCATGCGTGCCGGCTTGAAAACGCACGACCCACTGGTGAAGGGGCCCTCCCACATTCATGCTGGGGGTCCGGAACTTGTGCTGCCAAAAACAACGGACTCATTAGAGCACTTTGAAGCTGCTCGGTTTCCCAACCTGCCTCAGTGCTTGTAGGCATGCCAGGTGCTTCCTTCACGCAGCAACGATCTCCGAATCTAGCCCGTTACGCCGCTCAGAAAACTAAAATAAAGCGCTGAAAACATGTGCCGGTCGTGGGGTCGCACTCCATGGATTCACTTCAACCCTTCGTGCCCCAAAGTGCCTGCCATGCATCGGTTGCACTCTGGCCCTGGCTTGCCTCCCACGACCCCTGCCGGGACAGTGCGCACAGCGCGGGGCCGATTGTGGCAGCCACATGCTTCCATATGCTATTCCATATTCCCTTCCACTCCATTCCATTCTATGCTGCACTCATTCAATTTGACAACTCCGACAAGCAGTACAGGTGTCAGAAAACTCTTGATGATTGGCGGCATCAGCTTCCAAGCTAGCTTTTCTAAATCACAAGCCTTTGCCAAGCATGGTGGGAGGGTGGCAATGGCAATGTGTAATCCAAACACGGTTGGAGACACCACCTCATGTGTCTCGTCAAACCATCCTAACTTGCATCACACAAGGTCTTGTCCAGAGAAAATTCTCTTGGGACTCAAAATCTGCTTATGAATCATCTTGGATCCAGCCTGCACCATATTGGAAAACTGACTTGTAAATATATAGCAAGATTAACCCATGACTCCAGAGCTCCCTTATTTTGGGAGATCAATATTGGACGAGGGGTCCGCAGCAATCTGGAACAGCAATTGTCCAACATGATTTGTCTCTGCGTGAAACTCATCAATATCTGAGCGCTGGACCCGGCGACCCTGAAGCCCCTTCTTGGTGGCCTTCACAAGCTTTTCAGCACTATTGTCCCTGGGTGCCTGAGGAAATTATCACGCACTGCCTCAGGCGTAAGAGGTTCATTGTGATCGAGCAAGGCCATCGAAACCTTGTGCAAACACAGGCAATAAGAGATAAGCACGGGTTGCGAGGCATGGCTTCCAAGATTTGAGCTAAAGGCAAACTACGAGCAGCGCACGTTTACCGGTTGACAAACCTGAGAATGTGGCATCGGGTGGTGCGCTGCTGGAACGATTGTGGGCACCTTGGGCAGGCACCCTGGCATCATGGATCCTCGTGACTCCTCTAGCTTCCTCTCAGAAGGAAGCCATGTCTTCGGACAACATGGGCACTTTCGTAACCTGCCGCAGGGCAGCAGCAGCAGCAGCAGCAGCAGCAGCAGCAGCAGCAGCAGCAGCAGCTTGACGTGCAGTCTGCGAACACATGTGATCTGACATGGCATGTTGCTGGCCCTGTTGCTGGCGGACCGCTATGGCGTGCAATCTGCGAACACATGTGATCTGACATGGCATGTTGCTTGGCCCTGTTGCTGGCGAACCGATACACACCAAACTCTACAGCGGCTCACCTTCTGTCCACGCCGGACTCCTTGACATAGCAGACCTGTCACAAGCGCCGAGGCCCAGCACGACCAGCAACTTCGCAGCACTGCTCGCTTGTTGGGCCACCTTTAGGGCGCTCGCAATAGGAACCCCAAAACCAAGTACACACCTGACGCACATCTGCAGGCGGGCCTCGGAGGCCACCACAGAGCTCTGTGGAGGCTCGAACCCAGCCACACACCGAGATGTGGGCCAATTCAACAATCCTAGTTAAGGGTGGATGCAGCGTCCTAAGGCGACACGCTTCCACAGATGAGAGTCTGTGCCAAAAGGATGCTCGAGATTTAGGCTTGCTGCCGAAGGAGGTGTATATGTTTTCCCAACCCCGAACTAGCCACGTTATCCCTGCATGCATCCAGAACAACGGTCGAAGGGCTTATCCAGGATCAGCAAAGTTCGTCTGTAACCTAGTATCCTCGAAGTGCCACATGACCTAAAACCTTCAAAGTTGCTCTGCGCTCTTGTGCCTGAGACTATGACCATCATGGCACTCAACATGGCTTGAGGAATGGGCGCACGGTACGACAGCAATCGTCAACACTTCTGCGCTTCAAGGACGGGCTCTCGGGCAAACATGAAGGCCTCATAGCCACCGTGCAGCAGCCGCGCTGTACGGCTTTGCATGACCTGAGAGAGGCAGGCAGACACTCACCAGACTCAGTTTCTGCATCAACGCTGTGTCCGAGACATAGTCTGGCTGCTCGAGCACCTCCGCCGGTATGTGCCTCAGGTGCTGCGCCCGTGTTCATCCGGGTTGATGCTCCGCGTGTCCAATTTGAAGCAGAAAGGCTGCCCCAGGAGGAAGAGGGACATCGCGTCGCTGAAGTGGTTGCAGTTGTTGGACCTTGGCGGAACAGCCCCCGACAGGTCGGTAATTTGTTGCTTGTGTGGGGCGACAGCAGAATATTGTACTTCTCCGGCCCAAAGTGGTCCGCACAACACCTTGGCAAGACCCCTCATGTCAACCTGGGCCTCTATGAAAGGATTCCCCGTTTGTGGAAGCCGCCCCCAAACATGGCTCACTCATGGCTCGAACCAGTGGGAAAGAGACTCTCTGGCCTCGTGAGAGTCTCGATGGTTGACCGGTAGCTCTTGCAGGTGTAGCCCAGCAGCCTGCCACCATGACTGACAATCAGCATTTCTTTGCCTCGGCCCTGGCCCAAGGAGTTCAGAGTCACGGCAGGACACCTTTTTCGTCGGCGGTTCCTGCATACTTACAGCTTTCATACGCCTGAGGGCTCTCTGGTCAAGCATTCCCGGCCCACGGAAGCCCCAAACCCATGCATACTCTGCTCCACGCCTTCCTGGCTTCCGCACGCCAATGTATATTCGTTGTGAATGCGAACGGGCAGGCTTCCGCCATGATCGAGCTCAGCAACTTCCACAATGCTGAGATGTTGAATGGGCCCATGTGAGGGCGGCGCCACAGTATATTCTCTTGCAGCCTCTGGTCGTCGACCCTTTAATCCATGAGCTGAACGAAACGGACAGTCTAAGGCGGGAACGGCGCGGCGGCCGACGCGAAGCGTCACAATCACTTGTTTCGATCACGAGTGCGCCCTGCGAGTCATACTCGTAGGTGTGCGTCTGACTGTCGCTAGTTTTTGACAATTGAGCGTCAGGGACAAGGGTTCGTACAAACAGGGAATTCGAAGCATACTGCTTCTGTTAGAACACAAGAGTTAAGACTGATTGCCAGTTGGGCAAGCCAGCCTCTTCTCGATAGGCCTCCCGAAAGGTGTGGTCCTCAGCAGCATTCTTCAATCGCTCACTTTTTGGGTATGCGTGTGTGTTGCACAATTTCTACCATTTGCTTCTTGCTGTTTGTATTCTTGTCTTAGGATCATTGTGATCTGTACAATGATGGACAGTCCTCTTGGATGCATCCCCCAGGGTCAAGGGAGCATGCCACGCTCATAAGAGCAGGACAGGCAAGTTTAGAGGGCTTACCTGGCAGACAGGTTCTTCTTGTTCCTTCTTGTTTGCCTGGAGTGTGTGCCTTTGGCCTAGGCTAGCCGCGCAGGCAGCCAGACAGAGCATGAACCCATAATGCATTAGCAAGTAGCATGCCATGATCACAACTAAATGCTCTGTGTTTTCTGCAACTATGGCGAGGAATAGTTGAATGGCTTCAAGGCTTACACGAAAACGATGGCAGACCCAATCCTTGCAAGTAGCACTGGGCCCAGTACTCTGGCAGTGACACACATCCAATACCTCCGCCGAGCCAAAGCTCTCGGCCTCAACAGCGACAGCGCTCTTTATACCTCCTCACTTGGATGCCACGGCTAAGGCAGCCGCTGTTCGCACCCCAGTCCACTACCAGAGATGTGTGCCAGAGTGCCTCGT